GGGGTGGGGTGGGTGTGCTGAGGGTGGGAGGCAGTGAGAGTACAGACTTGGACTTGCAGGTTGAATCATGCTAGTGCAGCTCCTTTTTCTTTCACTCAGGTGAGGCTGGGGAGGGGGTGAGGGCGGGGTGGGGTGGGTGTGCTGAGGGTGGGAGGCAGTGAGAGTACAGACTTGGACTTGCAGGTTGAATCATGCTAGTGCAGCTCCTTTTTCTTTCACTCAGGTGAGGCTGGTAAGGGTGGAGCTGGGATGGGACATCAGGGAGATGAAAGCAGCAGGCAGGGTTGTGGGGCCCAGTAGAGTCTTGATATATGGGTCCTTCCTTCTCCTCCAGCTCAGGTGGGGGCAGTGAGTGCCAGGTGCCCTAGGAGCAGGGGGTAGCCATGGCAGTGCTGGGGAATGAGTGACTGTGGCCCATATCCCTAGCTCGCAGGGGCTAGGGTCTAAGCATGGCTGCCAGGCTGCAGATACACTATGAGTCTGGGCCCCAATCTCATAAAGTAGGAGTGTCTGTAGCACTGACACTTGGATCCTGAAATACTAGTTTGGGATCCCTGCTTCTCTCTGCAGTCAGAGATGACCCTGCACTCAGATTATTGGGCAGTGAGTAAAAGGGGCAGTGGGCATCTCTCCAAATGCTGCTGTCTCCTCACTCAAAGACCACAATGACCTGTGGCTTGAGGTGAATGAGGTCTTGACAGCAGGTCTCCCTCGAGGTGTGTGAGATGTTCAGGGATGCACAGCAAAGCGGGGGGAGGGGGGAAGCTGCTGCTGGATTGGTAACTGTACCAATGAGGAACCAACATGTGTTTCCAGTCTAGGGCTGCTTGTTGGCTGGTCAAGAGGAAGAGGGAGATGTTGACTGTGCAAGGGGCCTTGAGTAGGGAGAGCTGAGTGGAGCAATGGGGGTGGTAAAAGGGGAGGGGGCTGTGATGGAGAAGGGGCATTGAAGAACAGAGCTGGGGAGTTGAATGATGAAGCTACTCTTTCCTTGCTCTTAGTGGCTTGGCCTGTGTCTCTTGAGAAGGGGGCTTTATGCTCTCAGATGGGGGTGGGCAGGCCTGGCTGTTTTCAGGAGGAGACTGTGTGGAGCCTGAATGCTGTGATGAAAGTACCTTGTACTCCAGGCTCTGCTCTGCCTCTGTAGAGTGCTTTTTTTCCAGACCCCTAGCTCCCCAGAGTGCAGATGAAAGTGGAACTCTTGGTGGTAGCAGGCACATGTTGCTAAGATACAGGAAGCTGTGCAAGCTCAGCAGCCTCCTCTCTCCTGAGAGCTGCAAAGAATGAGAAGAGCTAAAGTAACCTAGCAGGTGGCCTGAGCCAGCATGAGACCAAGCCCACAGTAATGGGTAGCGACCTCACACAGATGCACCCTGACACTCCAACAGAGATGAGCTACCGCTGATCCATAATCATGCAGGTAGGGAGCACACAGAGCTGGAAGAGTCATGATGTGGGCCATAGTCACGGAGCCAGCCTGACCTGGGGGATGACTGCCCAGCAATATGAGAGAGTCTGGGGGAAAGAGAGTTGCTAGCCTGGCCCCATATATTTAGTTTTCACTTACAGATAAATCCTCTCTCTTCTAACTAGCAGTTTCTTGCCCTACTTTTTGAATCAAGGTCACTTCAGCTCGGGAAAGAAACTGCAGGAAGCAAGTGACTATGTGGGTTTCCCAGGAAGGCTGATTCTGTCCAGATGGTTCTGTTCTCTGCACAAGGCTGTTCTCCCATTGATTCATGCCTGCCATGCACTTCAAGCATTCTCCTTGTTAAGTGCCTTCTGCCTCTTGTACCTGCTTAGAAACAGGAACCTGGATCCTTGGGTTGTGGGCCATGAGGGCTCAGTTCAGATCCTATCCAACCAATGCCATATGAAGCTATTACCCTAGACCCCAGCTCAGTTTCTGCTCATATGCCCCTCTTCCCATGCTCAGATGTTTGCAGATATGCAGCATTTCTGTGGGAAAAGTGTAGTTTGAGCTTTGCCTAGAAGGGAAAGGCCCTGGAAAGTTTTAGCAGAATTGCAGGGGAGTGAAAAGTGCATGAACAGTGAAAAGTAGGGCAAGAAACAAGTGTGTTCCTTTTGCTTTAATCACACTTTTATCCATGGTAAGCTGCCTTGGGATCGTGACTAGTAATTCCTTCATTTGGTCTCCAAGTTATACATCCAGCACATGCGGCTCGCTCTCTCATCCCCACTTATGTTCCATATTCACCATTGTGTCATGTTCCTGTTTAGCTAGTACCTTCACCAATGTTTACAATCTTCTGCTTATACAGTGCTCAGGGCTGCTGAGTGTTGTTGTGATACAAAATATCATTTCCAAGGTGATAGCTGAAAATCTGATTTGTAAGACTGTTATTAAAGCAATTGGTGCATATTTTGGTAGATTTAGATCTTCACAAGTTTCCTGACCATGTGCTCACTGGGCACATGTATCAGAGACATCAGTGGGGGAGTAGGGGCAGTCAGGATACCAGAGCAGCCCTTGTCCACGGCTGGCTTGAGCTCACCCTAGACAGAGGCTACTCCGTGGACAGGGGCAGAAAGTGGGAGCCGGTCTCTGCAGGTGCATTAGGAGGAGCACTGCCAGCAGATCTAGAGAAGTGATTATTCCCCTTTATTTGGCTCTGGTGAGGCCACATCTGGAGTATTGTCCAGTTCTGGGCACACCTCTATCCCCCCCCCCGTCCTCCCAGAAAGGATGTGGACGCATTGAAGAGGGTCCAGCGGAGGGTGACCAAAATGATTAGGGGTCTGGAGCACGTGACCTATGAGGCGAGGCTGATGAATGTGGGTTTGTTTAGTCTGCAGAAGAGAAGAGTGAAGGGGGATTTGATAGCAGCCTTCAACTTCCTGAAGGGAGGTTCCAAAGAGGATGGTGAGAGTCTGTTCGCAGTAGTGACAGGTGGCAGAACAAGGAGCAATGGGCTCAAGTTACAGTGGGAGAGGTCTAGATTGGATATTAGGAAAAACTATTTCACTCGGAGGGTGGTGAAGCACTGGAATGGATTACTTAGGGCGATGGTGGAATCTCCATCCCTAGAGGCTTTTAAGTTTCAGCTTGACAAAGCCCTGGCTGGGTTGATTTAGTTGGGATTGGTCCTGCCTTGGGCAGGGGGCTGGATTTGATGACCTCCTGAGGTCTCTTCCAGCTCTAGGATTCTATGAACTGCAGAAAATGGAAGTGCCCCAGTGCCATTAGTTCTGCTGCAGAGCACCAGCTGCAAATAGTAACAGCGCTGGAGAGAAGCAAGCTAGGAACAGTGCATCAGGTACCACATGGCATCTGTTCATGCATTTAATCATTCACTGTAACCACACAAAGGCCTATGCCTTTGCAGAGCTCCCAGAAAACTGGGCCGACATGCAGGAACCCTTGCTGGAGGGGATGGGCTTTACACTCAAGTACCTGGGCATGACGCTGGTGGAGAAACCCAAAGGAGAAGACATGGCAGCCAATGCCATCCGTCGGATAATCGCTATGGTAAGAGATTCCCTCTCTCTGGGCTTCAGTGTCTGCCTGCCTGCCTGACTAGTGAGGGGGGTTGAAGAAAGTCAGCATTTGGAGACTTTGCTTATGGAAGTAGTGGGGCTGGGCTAAGTAATTGTTTCCTTGCCTCTATGCCCCTGAGCTTCTGTTTCCAACATAGTCTCACAGCCTGTGTGTCCTGCGGCCTGAGCCACACTGACGGGATGCAGTCACAGATGACCCCTCGGGGGGGGGGCTCCCAGAGTGCTGACATAGCTATTGCCACTCGCCTTCCCACTCTCTGGGGCTCCCCACTGCCCAGTGCTGCTGGGCCAGCTCTCTGGTCTCCCTCAGCCAAAGCCACTCCCTACCAACCACTGCTCAGACTTAAGGACCAAAGCTCCACTACATGTATCTGACGAAGTGGGTCTTTGCCCACAAAAGCTCATGCTCCAATAAATCTGTTAGTCTCTAAGGTGCCACAGGACTTCTCATTGTTCTTGCAGATTCAGACTAACACGGCTCCCCCTCGGATACTTGTTTAACAGTTGAGGGTAACACCCTCCATGTGTCTCACTCACACATTTGAAACCCACATCTTATTTCCCACTCCATTTGTCTAATTTCACACACACAAATGATACATACATTAGAGTAAGATAAACAAAACCAGTGGATCATGACATGAAGATTGATGGGTTACACAAAATAATTCACTCAGAGCACCTCTGAGTAATGTATATTCATGTCCATAAGTCCATTTCATAAAGCATGGGAGGGTATCTGTCACACATGCCTCCAAGTGTCAAGTGGCAGCTGGCCCTGTCCAGGCAGAGAAGGGGGGCCAGGAGAGGCCCTACTGTCTGGGGAGGAAAACTCATTTCTTGTGTGCATGGGTGTGGGAGAGGCCCCCTCTTTGCCTGCCTCTCGTCCCTTCTCTGAGGATCTCAGAGCTCTTTCCAGTGGGAAGCTTAATGAGTGACTTAAACCCTGTTGCATAAACAGGGAGCTAGCAGTGCAGGGAAGGGAAGGGAAGGGATCTGCCCATGTGAGATCAGCATGGCAGAGTGTGAACAGAACCCAGGAGTCCTGGCTGCAAAGGCAGTGCCTGAACCCCAAGCCCAGCCTTTCCCACTTCCTATGGCTCAAATCCTAGTAGCGGGGATGCTGTGAGAGTCTGGGCTGATGATGGAGAGTAACAGGAGCCAGAATCCCTCCTGGCTTCAGGTGAGTGACTAATGTGCCACCGGTCATTTCTCCTCTCCCTGTCTCCAGGCTCGCATGGGAGCCAAGAAATTCCAGAAGGTGATTCTGACAGTCTCGCCGAGGGGCCTCTCGCTGCAGGATGCTGAGACCAAGGAGATGATCGAGTGTGTCTCCATTTACAGGTGTGTAGGGGCTGTGGACTAGAAAAGTTACAGACTCTCAGCTACTAGGACTAGGGGGCAAAAGGGTTTTGGAAGCCAGGAGGTAGTACCCTGTGCCCTTTGTCAGTGGAAGTGTTGTCTCTTCGCCTTCCTGGTTCACCAGTGGCCCTTCCTGGAGATATTTAAGAGCATCTATTGGTGGTGATCTAGACACTGCTTGGTCCTGCCGTGAGATCAGGGGCCTGGACTCGATGATCTCTTGAGGTCCCTTCCAGTTCTAGGATACTATGGCAGCGATGCTGTCACAGGGCTTCAGTGATTAAATTCAATCTTGTAGCTAGGGCTTAACTAGTACTTGCTCTGAAGATTAGGATGCAGGCCTTAAGCTGGCCTCAGAACCTGACAGGGAGCCTTCAGTGGGAGGAGTAATGGCTAGTGACCGGATAAGTCTTAAGACAGATTTACTACATTTATGAACTGGTAGCAGGGGACTCAGTGACCCTGGAGATCCATTCCAGTCCTGTCATTTGTTCCTGTGGGAGACAGTGCAGAGATCTGAGCACATGCCTGCTGTGCTCCCAGAGTATGTCTGCACAACCTGCAGCAGCAAGCATCCGCTAGGCTGACACGCTTGGGCTTGTGCTTGGGCTTGTGCTCCAAAAGTAGTGTGAATTACTCCTGCTTAGGCTTTGGAGGCTGATCTGCAGCGTCGGATCGATGTCTACACAGCTGTTCTCAGAGCATTGACACAAGCCTTGAGACATAAGCCAAGTCTGTCAGCCCAGGTCGAAAGGTGCTGCCGTGGGCTGGTTAGACAGACGTACCCGCAGGGGCTTGGGCCCTGGAGAAGCCTGCCAGCCATATGCCCACTGGAGCATCAGCTTCCGAGTGAATGGCCATGATCCAGCCTGGAGGTGACCAGTGCATGGATTGCTGTGGCCAGGCCCTCTTCTGGCAGAAGGATGAGGTTGCATAGCCAGCTGGAGGTGCAAGGAGGTTACTTGGTTGCCCAGCTCAGGGCAGAGTCCAGCAGGACCCTGAACCTGTACACAGCTCAGAATAGGGACTGTGCACACAATGTCTTGCACAGCTTTTCACAGTCTTCCCTGTTCTAGCCATCATCACTTCAGTCTCTCATGGGTACTTCAGTCAATATCCTGCTCTGATGCAGTCTGAGTTCAGGCCAGGATACTGGATGGAAGCGGAAAGATGGAGGACCGATCCCGTGCAAGACAAAGGTGATCCTGGTGTCCGAAGAAGGCATTAAAGGAGTGCACAGCCCCCTGCAGTCTCCTCCTCCTGCAAGGGGAACCATGGCAATCAGTGGCCTGGCCCACGCTACTTCCGGCAGCTCCCCTTGGCTGCAAATGGCAACCAGAGCCAACGAGAGCCGAAAGGCTCTGTGGCTGCGGAGCCAGTAAATAAACTAGCTGGAGTGGCCAGTTGGCAGGTTTCTCGGGGTGGAACTGTGGACCCCTTTGAGAAACACTGGTCTAGAAAACTCCTGGATTCTTCACTAATGCAGAGCTCTTGCTCAGCAGCAGCTGCCAGTGCGGCTGTCTCCCAGCTCCATGGCTTGGAGCCCGGCTCCACCATGGCAGTGACCTGCCTCGGTTATACATGCTCCATCCCCTGCCGTCAGCATTACAGAATATAGTACCCCTAAGCACAGAGCCTTCAGCACTTAGGGGACTCCACCTTGCTCAGCCTCAGCAACATGGGCTCCTGCAGGCATGTCCCACCTGTCCACCACTCTCTACGCTGGCTCCCATGTAATAGCAGGTCAAGTTCAAGGTTTTGGTCCTTCTCTCCAAGGTGCTCCAGGGCCTGGGCTTATATTAATGGTGTGGAGGGGGTGCGCCAGGAACTGGCAGGCAGTGGACAGTTATAGTCCTCCAGGATCTCAGGCAGCCTTTATGCCCCTTGCCGCTAGGCCAGGCTGTCTGGTCAGTAGGGGCAGGAAACTTGGTGGGGCCAGCACCAACCTACAGTCCCCGAGTGCCTTGTCCCTCCCACTTGCACCCAGGGAACAGCATGGGGCTGTTTAAAAGGGAGTAACATATCCCTTCTCTGCTTGTCATGTGTGTTGCATGCTGTTAACCCTCCTGACTCGTTTGCCATACGCATCCCCTGTGTAAGACTCTTCAGCAGCATATCCTAGCTTCCCACACTACATACCCAGCCAGCTCAATGCTGCCCAGACACCCCTAGCGCCCAGACACCCCTAGCTCCCAGAACCAGAGTGAACCCTGGGCCACTGGTGGCTGCCAAACCTGCCCAGTCACTTGGAGCTAATGCTGCCCCTCTGAATGGCTGTCCCTTCTTGCAGGATTTCCTACTGCACTACGGACAAGTTGCAGAACAAGGTGTTTGCCTACGTGGTGCAAAGCCAGCAGAGTGGAGCACTGGAGTGCCATGCCTTCCTCTCACCCAAGAAGAAGATTGTAAGCACCTGCCCTTAGCAAGAAGAGGTCCAGGATGGGTCCAGCCAGTCCCTCTGGTCCAGGGAGCGAAGGTCCCTGCTTCCCCAGCACCTCCAGGCTCCAACGATCTCTGCATGCCATGTTTCAGGGGCTGCCTGCTATGCTGCATGATGCCCCACTCCCAGCAAGGGCAGCATTCTTCCCACCACCTGTCACAGATCCACAAGATTTGAGCTGTGCCACAGCTTTTCAAGAGGCTCTTGGAGGACCCCCTTCAATGTGGCACACCTTCAAGGGGTGCCACTAGTCCTTCGGGGTTGATCCTGGATCCTCACTGACAGGTTCCCCCTGGGCTGCCACTGGAACTGGGGTGCCAACAAGCCCTTTGGCCCACTAGTCTAGGCTCCTTCTCCCTCTGCTGCTGTGACAAGCAGCAGGCCTGTTCTCAGGCCTTCACTTCTACACAGCGTTCACACAGGTAGGGACACACCTTGCTACAGTTACATGCAGGCTCTCTGCCTAACCCAGCGATGGGAGGGACACAGCCAAGGCAACTCCCAGCTCCGCAAGCACACACATCCCGAACCCCCGGAGTATAAACTCAAAATGATGCAATCTTGCACTGCACAGAAGGCTGTACAGTGTAAGCTCATAGTTCGCCTTCTCCTTCAATATGGAGAGGAATATGCAACAGCCTTTCCCCTTGGACTAGGGTTCCTATACACTTCACTCCAGTTAACTGGTTTGCTACAGAGTATATTTTTACGTTATAAGTACTGGCAAACAGATCAAAGCAGATTACCTAGTAAATAAACAAAAATGCAAAGTAAGCTTAATATACCGGCTAGATTGGGTATAAATTCTCAGATTCTCAACCTGAGAGATGATGCAAGGCGGCTGCAGATTGTTAAAGAGCAAGCTGCTCTTGTTATACAGCTTGGAAGCCCCAAGTCTTTTGTACGCAGGTTAGAAATCCCTTTAGCCTATGTCTGCCACTTCCTTCAGTTCAGTCTTTGTTCCTCAGGTGTTTCCAGGAGTCCTCTTGTGTGGGAGTGAGGGACGGATGATGTCACACTCTGTCTTCTATAGCTTTTGCAAATGGCAGGAACCCTTTGTTTCAAAACTTGGTTCCTAGACTGGTTTGTGGAAAGTACTGAGGTCTCAAGATGTGGTCTGGTCCCATGTCCTTGCAGAGGCAAAGCAGCCACTACTCACAGGCTGTGCTTTTTTTATAAAGCACCCCCTTTAAAAAAAAAAAAAAAAAAAGTATAAGTACCCCTGGTACTGGCAGTTTTCTGACACATGTTTCTTTCTACAATTGGAACACATTTGTTTAAACAACTTAATTGTAGCCAGGAGGATGATGAAATTTTTGGGTGTTAAAAGTACAAAAATAATAAAGTAATGTAAAACTTGAAACAAAAATTCAGTTTTCTCCAAATTTCAGTTGTACTGACGTGCCCCTAGACTTCTCTTGAGGACTCCTGAGGGCACTCATACCACTGGGTGAGAAACACTGCTCTATAGCGGTCTCAGGAAGACTCAGCAGTTGGGTGAGAAGCGTCTCTTGCTGTTTTTCCTAATGGCACGGAATAGGCCCTTCCCTGTGCTCCCTGTGGCATGATGAGCTTGGGGATCTGCTCATCTCCTCCTCTCCTCCCCCATCCCCTGCTCCTCTCTAGCCAACCATCCTGCTCCCTTACAGGCCCCTGGGACTTCCTGCCCCTCTCCAGCCTGCTCCTGACCAAGCTTACCTGGTCAGCTGTGCCGCCCAGAGCATTAGGGCTGGTAGCATGGCAAGCATGTCGCCCAGGCACTGGAGGAGCTAAGGCTGTGGGGAAGGAGGGACAAAAAGGGCAGGGGGCCAGGCACTAGCCTTCCAAGATGGGAGCTCGGGGACTGGGCAGAAGGGTCCAGTAGGCTGGATGTGGTTTGTCTCCCTGTAGTCTGTACAGAGGGGAGCACTTAACCTGTACACCTTCTCTTTGTTCTTGAGCTTGGCTTCCCTGCTGTGATTTGGAAGTGGGAAATCTCTTTCGACTGCTAGATAGCAGTGTTCTGAGCTGTGGGGTGTCCCATTGTCGTGTTTGGATTCTTCATTGATATAGGGAGTTTCAGCAGGTTCCAGCCAGTTTCTTACTGACCCATTCATTGCATTGTGGACAGTAAGGTGATCGTCACTTCTCTGGGAGCTCTCCAGACAAGTGAGGTGTTGTCAATGTTGGGTGCTTCGCAGTGCTTTGCTGTTGTAGCTCACAACCAGAGCCACTCACAAATAGCCTGTGGGCTTGCAACTCACCCTGGGTGGCCCTTGCCTCTGTTTGTCAGATGCTGAGAATGGGCGACATGAGAGGGATCACGTGATGATTATCTGTTCTGTTCACTCCCTTTGGGATACCTGGCACAGGCAACTGTCAGAGGACAGGATGCTGAGCTAGAGGGACCTTTGGGCTGACCCGGTCTGGCTGTTCTCATGTTTGAGTATAGTGGCACTCCTGATCCTGCCACTCTGACCCCAGAAGCCCGTCGGTAACACTCCAATCATACTCTTGCTTTCAGAGGTCATGGTTAATATTTTCAGGGTGACCTCAAAACACTCCCAGTCCTGCGGTCATGGTTACTATTTTCAGGGTGACCTCAAAGCACTCCCAGTCCTGGACTTTCCCAAAAAAGCATGTTCTGTACTGTCCAGCTCTCTCCTGGCAGTGCAGCTATTGAAGGCCCATTGCCCCTGTAAAGATCAGTATTCAAGTTTGCTGCTGTAACTGGAATTGTCACACAGTTCAGTTTAAATGCCACAGCAGATGGGTTTTATTTTCAATCTAAACTAAAGTTATTCGACTGCAATGAGAGAAATTTTAAGTGAGCACAAAGTCTGAAATGGTTACAAGACAAATAAAATGTTTTCTAGTAGCCAAAATTTAACAAGCTAGATGTGGGTCAATATAAAATCTTTACCACGTGTTCCCAACAGAACTGACCATATTCACTGGTCAGGACCCTCCTCCCAAAGTTAAAGGGCTGCTTCCTTGTCATCTGGGGGCTGGGAGGGAGAAAGAAAAAACAAAAACGAAGCTTGGGGGGGTTTACCCCTCACTTTGATAGTCCAAGCAAAATACAGGACTATGTAGCACTTTAAAGACTAACAAGATGGTTTATTAGATGATGAGCTTTCGTGGGCCAGACCCACTTCCTCAGATCATGTCCAGTTACTCTTTGAAATGCATGTTCCTGAGGAAAAAACAACAAATAGTCTAGCAGCACTTTAAAGACTGACAAAACATGTAGCTGGGATCATGAACTGTTGTGGGCACAGCCCACTTCTTCAGATGAATGGAGTTTTTAAAGGTCCAGTTTCAAAATAAATAGGGGATGAGGGGAGAGAAGAAAAAAGGGGAAGAAATAGTCCATTAGAATCTGCAGGCTACATGAAGCTGATAGAGTCCTGGAACCAATCCTATTCAACTTATTTATAAAAGATCTAGAGAAAGGGGTAAACAGCAAGGTGGCAAAATTTGCAGATGATGCCAAACTGCTCAAGATAGTTAAAGCAGACTGTGAAGAGCTTCAAAAAGATCTCACCAAACTAAGTGATTGGGCAACAAAATGGCAAATGAAATTGAATGTTGATAAATGTAAAGTAATGCAAATTGGAAAAAATAATCTCAACTATACATACAATATGATGGGGACTAATTTGGTTACAACTACTCAAGAGAGAGATCTTGGACTCGTGGATAGTTCTCTGAAACCATCCACTCAGTTTGCAGCGAAAGTCAAAAAAGTAAATAGTATGTTAGGAATCATTAAAAGAAGGATAGAGAATAAGTCAGAGAATATCTTATTCCAGGGGTGGGAAATAATTTTTGAAGTAGCCCTGCCGGAAGGGGCGGGGCCTAAATGGGAAGGGGTGGGGCTACCCCACCCCCAGACCATGATTGGTCTGGGGGTGGGGGAACTCCTTTGCCCCCCATTCCCACTAGGCACCCATGCCCTGGAAGAGGCTTGGTACGCTCTTGGCACGCGCCCCCACCCTGATTGGCCTGGGGGCGGGGGAATGTGCAAAGCCTCCTCTGCTCTCTCTCTCCCCGCCCCCACCCGTCCTGGCGCCACGTGCTCCTGGCAGGGTGGGAGGAGGCTCCACCCTGGGGGTGGAGGAGTGCTCAAAGCCTTCTCTGCTCTGCCCGTGGGCTGCTCATAGGGCGGGGGCAGAACGGAGAAGGCTTCGGGTGCTCCCCTGCCCCCAGGCCCTAATTGGTCTGGGGGCAGGGGAGCACAGGGCCTCTGTGGGCTGAATCCACTTGCTTGTTGGTCCATATCCAGCCCGCGGAGGCCTTTTTGCCCACCCCTGTCTTATTGCCTCTATATAAAACCACAGTACACCCACAGCTTGAATACTGTACAGATGTGGTCACCTCATCTCAAAAAAGATATATTGGCATTGGAAAAGGTTCAGAAAAGTCAACAAAAATGATTAGGGGTTTGGAACGGGTCCTAGATGAAGAGAGATTAAAAAGACTGGGACTTTTCAGCTTAGAAAAGAGAAGACCATGGAGAGCTATGATAAAGGTGTATAAAATCACTTAGGAAAGTTAGATGT